CCAACATGAATTTGACCCAACTCCGGGAGGCAGTGGAAGACAGGAGGGCCTGGCGTGTGCTCTGGTCCATGGGGTCACGAAGAGTCGGACACGACTAATGACTAAACAACAGCAAAGAAAAGAGCCTAGGAAATCATGAAGTAGCTCCCAGCAAACATAATGTTTTACTTCTTGCGGGGGGGGGGAGGACATCAGTATGAGGCAATAAGACATTACTCGCAGTATTTGCCAATTTCTGTAAAGTAGCACTTCTCCATTTTTTCAGTGGTATTGGCCAACAGATTGCCCAATTCATACCTCCAAAGGGCTACCGTTCATTAAAAAAGCGTGCCAAATTAAAAGTGCACTTGTCTTTTAAGAGGTCACAAGACTGACAAGATATACTATTTGCCTGCTCCTGGCGACCAGTAGGGTCTGGCTTTCTCCCAATGGCCGTCGGCTCAACTCCTCAAATATGACCGCTTCTTGGCAAGCTGGGTAGATGCTGAGTAGCCTCAGGGGCTTGTTAAGTTCAAGTCACTGGGGAAACAGTGGCCAAAGTATCACCTGGGCTACCTCTCCAACAATGCCTTAAGCTCCACGAATCCCAAGCCAAGCATTTTAGTGGGCTGCGAAGTGGCCAAGCTATAGAGGTGGGTGGGAAGACATTCAATTAAAAAAGGAGGTCACCTCCGACCGTCTTCGTCCTTCTGTTCCTTTCCTCTCCCGCGCACGTTGCCGAGGGCGGAGGGGCTTCCAGTGGGCCCAGCATGATGACTACAGAACTGTAGTCAACAAAACTATAAGTAGGCTACTGGTCTCTGTGGTTTTTTTAAGCGAACAATCTACGTATACATAAATACCAATGCAAAATGGTATTTAGTCTGCAGAACGGCTAAACTTTAAAACCTATATGTACAAGATTTGTGATCTCATACACACTTTTCATACCTGTGTCAAATGACTTCTTATGGCTTGTTTGGGTCAAGCCTGCCCTTTAGAAAAGTTTTTATTACAAGAAATGACACTGTTTGGTTTTGGGCGGCTTCTTTTCCTTTTAGTTCTTTCTCACCAGCCACAGGCTGAGATCCTGTTGCGCAACATCAGCAACGTCCCAAGTTTCAGTCCACTCCTTTCTCAGAAACAGCAGCCCCGTCACAATCCTCTGGGGCGTGTGCATCAGAAGGCTTGGATGTCAGCCCAGGATCCCTTAGAAGCTGTTACGACAGGATCAAAGCAGGGCAGGTCCCCAATTTCTTTGACAACATGGAATGTTTTGGTTTCATCCAAGACAATGAATTGTAGAAGCCACTGAATATTATTCCATTTAGTCAGAGACGCAACAAAACACCCCACCTTTGATTTAATCCTCTGTGGTCCTCAGAACATGGTGCAAAACTTAATGCTTAACTTTCCACCTGTTTAAATAAAATAATATTTTGATTTGGCTTAAGTGTTACTTAGCTGGCTAAATAGCTCAATAGTTTAGGTATCTGACTATAGAGCCAGAGGTTGGGAGTGCAGTTCCCTACTTGTGCCTCCTGGGAGAAGAGCCAGCCTGGGTAGCCTTGGGCAAGCTGCACCGTCCCAAGGCTGCCCCTAGAGGAAGGGAAGGGTAAAGCACTTATGAGTGTCCTCTGCCTGCAAAACCCTGCAAAGGGTTGCCATAAGTCAGAATTGACTTGACTACATGATTATTAGTACCTCCTGAATCAAAATCTGTTTTTCAGTAACTCACACACAGCTTAATATCCTCAAGGCTTTACAGCTGACTCCTGCACATTGCAGACAGAGCTCCTTCACTCCTAATAACGATACAAAAGACAGAATTCTAGTAGGTGTAACTCGCACGAAAAGCTATGCAGGCCCTAAAAGAGAAGCTTCTTCATCATAAGGCCACCCTATTCATACAGCTACACACAGACTACTGGCAAAGATGTGCATCTGGTAAACAAGCTGTGGGACTCTACCACAATATCACCGCAAAGCTGCAGAGCAATGGAGTGGGCCGTGAGCGACACAGAAACACGGTGGCCTGGGAGCCAGACACTATACAGCTGCAACGAAGCAAAGACACAGCCATTTCCACCCAAGCCAATCTCAGCTTGTGTCCTCTTTGTCTCAAAATGGCTGTGTGAAATTAGCGGTGGGCAGCCAACGGTCTCACTGGGGTCCCATCGTCAGATTCTCGACTGCTACCGTAGCAAAGACCTTCTCTCTAAAGCATCGTACACAGGGATCTGCGACTCTGGAGAGACTCAGATTTTGCCCACCACGCTCCGCTGCTGAGATTCGGTGGTCCATCAGGAACCACATTCAGCCAAGGGCTTCAGAAAAACAGCTGAGGGAAAGGTGGCTTTCAAGCTCAGAAAGACTGGGAGACGGGGACGTGCCTGCTCCTTGCTTTCGATCCAGCTCTGAAGGTCTAAATCCTGATGCCTCTCTGACCCATGAAGTCTTCTGAAAGCAAAGCTTTTTCAACGGTGGCGTTGGCCTTGTGAAAAAGGCTTCTCCAGGGGAACCACCCGGTCAAGACAGCTCCTAGGACCCAGATGAATCCCGATGCTCTTGAGCCCCCACTGAAATTATTTCTAGTTTTGTTTTGTGTTTCTTTCTATTTTTCCCAGGTTACCTGCAACTGTGACTTATTCCTACTGGTTTTTCTTATGCCCTATTTTTCCTACTACTTTTTGTGCTTTTTTTTTTTTTGTTCAGAAGGCACAAATGATACCTTTTTTAAATTTTTCCCAGGTTACCTGCAACTGTGACTTATTCCTACTGGTTTTTCTTGTGTCCTATTTTTCCTACTATTTTTTGTGCTTTTTTTTTTAAGTTGCTCATTTGTTTTAACCATGGATAAGGTTTTCCTGCTGCTTTTGTTCAGAAGGCACGAATGATACATTTTTTTAAAAAGATACATTTTAAAATGAATGTATCTCAATCCTTTCATGTGTGTGTGTGTGCTGCAAACAATTAGCATAATGATCTCTACAGTTGATAAATTTTGCACAGATGATCAGAAGGATGGTATATTCCTGAATAATGGTCTGTATGGAAAATAAAGTACAGTGGTGCCTTGCTTAACGATGATAATCCGTTCCAGGAAAATCGCCGTTAAGTGAAAACATTGTAAAGCAAAAATAAAAACCCCAATGAAATGCATTGAAACCCGTTCAATGCGTTCCAATGGGGTAAAAACTCACCTCCCAGCGAAGATCCTCCATACGGCAGCCATTTTCGCTGCCTGTATAGCGAGGAATCCGTCCTTAAACACAGCAGGGAGCCATTTTAATTACTCAGTGGCCATTTTGAAACTGCCGATCAGCTATTAGAAAAACATCGTTTTGTGAAGAATCAGTTCCCAAAGCAGGGACCCAATCATAGCAAAGCGAAATTCCCCCATTTAGACCATCGTTTTGCGATCGCAACTGCGGCCGCAAAAAGATCGTCATAAAGCAGATTCGTCATAATGCGGGGCAATCGTTAAGCGAGGCACCACTGTATCCCAACCCATGGACCAGTTCTGAAGCAAAATCTCCCCAACCTTCGATGCTAAGATTATAACAAAAGTAATGATCTCCACTTATGGTTTACAATCCATAGGAAGTAAACAAAAAAGTAACACTAGACAAAAATTACTACACCTGCTTCAGATGCTGTGGTTCATGTTGTCTACTGTACTAATTACATATCACAACAGCTGCGTGGGCAGGAGACTAGGAAACACCTTGTACCCTTTTTAGCTGAATTTCATTTTTCATGCAGACAAACCCTTCAATTTAAATGTACAAGTCAATTTATGTAGCAGCCTATAACTGAATGCTTCCTCATGTGAGAAGCCAAAGCTCTCGGGCAAATTCAAGCTGGCAAATAATATTCACAGATACTGTCACCAGCAGCACAAGGAGCAGGTAGACATTAGAAGCAAAACCTCAGCTTGGAAGAAATACTTCTGTGTGAAAACTGCATTTTTAAAGGAAGGAGGGGGAATTAACAACTTAATATGTGTATAATTTCAGATTATTTGGTCAAACTACACATAATCATACCCTCACCAGTTTTTAGTGTTGCAAAACACCCCTTTTAACACAAGAGTGTCCACTCATCTTACTGGAAGTTGAAAACAAAATCTGCACATTTCAAGGCTAATTCAGGCTTATTAAGTCATTATGCAACATCTCTGCCTTGAGTGCAGTTTATTGCACATTTACTTACCTACAGTTACAACTGGTAGAATAATAATAACAATCACATCCCATCAAGTCAGTTCTGACTCATGGCAGCCTTTTTCAGGGTAAACAGGTAATATAGCCACTTAACTGCAACGACTCACTCAGAAATGCTCAGTTCTCAGAATGCCAATAAACCGACCCCAAAAACCATTAACAGAAAAGCCAACTTTTTGCAGTGGAGAACCAAATAACTCCCTTCAAAAGGAGATTCTCTGGATGCCAGACTTCTGTTCTTGTCTCAAACTCATACAAAGAAAAAAAGAAAGTTCTTATACTCCAGGCTTCTTACATTTTATCAATGTATTCTTCTTTGCGCTTTTTTAGTAAGCAATTTTGCAAACCTTCTAAAGTAAATGCATTCTTCCACAAGGCATGCAGGGAAAAACAGATGCAATTTAAAAAGCCAAATAATTCCAAAGGACAATGGGTGGGGAAGATTATCCCTCACCCCCTCCCGTCCTTTGTCCATCTAAGGAGCCTATTGGGGAGGGGGGCAGTGAAACTACTGGGGAGCGTTTATCAGGATTCTCCTACCAACCGTCCTAAAACTGAAGAAGCTACTTGGGTGAAACATTTCAGCCTGAGAGGAAAGACGGTTCAGTTGCCATGACTCCATTTCCAGATTCCAAAAGAGTTCTTTGCCAAAATAAAATGGGCCGCGAGCAGGAGATACACTTTAATTGCCTCCAGCAAGGACAGGAAGTATTTCTAGGAACGCTTCAATTTCCAGGGATGAACACAGAGGTCCACCGCTAGCTCTCCATGCTACCTGGGCGCTGCACTCCTTACCTGCATCATGGTGACCACATGGCAGGGGTTGAGCAGGTAGATGACGGTCTTGGTAGCAAACTTGAATCCCACCTCCAGCCCGAAAGTGAGGCAGAGGGAGACCAGCAGCAGGTTCTTCCCCACGCTTTCCTCCTTGCTCCGAGCGTGGGCCAAGAGGTCCCCCACTTCCTTGGCGTGGGTCCGCCGGATCTTGTGCAGAGACACCACCACCTCGAGGATGCTCACGGCGAGGAAGACCAGGCTCTCCACCAAGCGCTGCTGCCAAGGGAGGAAGGCAGCACATTCGGGGCCCCCGTTGCCCTCAAAGCTGGGGTCTACTCCGCCGTACATCCAGTCCAAAAGATTGGAGAGGCTGTAGCGGCTCATGGCCGGGGCCGGATCCTCGTCTGCCCGGTCTGGGCTGCGCTGGAGGAGGTGGGAGCCGGAGGAGATCACAGCGAGCGGGCTCTCCGGGTGGCGGAACATGAAACGCAAGAGGGTCCCTTATTCGCAGTTGCGCTCCCTCTGCAGAGAGAGAGCGGAGAAGAGAGGGGCAGCCGGCCGGCTTCTGCCAGGGCTCTCGGATCCCCGAGGGAGCCAGGGAGGAAAGCTGCAGGGGGAAAAAGACCAAAGTTGGTATTAAAATCAGAGGAAGCAGGCAAGAAGAGAGGGGCAGCAAAAGGGGGGGGGACCCTGTCCTCATCTCTCCCTCTGCCTCTGCCTGTCAGCCATGCCCCCTTCCAGAGCCCTCCCCACCACCACCACCACCACCACAGGAAGGACGCTGGTTGTGCCAGCGCGCAATGCCTGGGTTTACGTTACACAGGTATTTACACCCCCAGAAAGCAATCACGACCATCCAGGG